CAAAAATCCAGTCGTCCAGGTCCTGGGAAGATATGTTATTCCACATTGCTGAGAGTATATACGGGTATATTAAGATTGCTAGAAACATTCCAAAAACAAAAGAAATAATCGTGCGCCACCATGTGGCGCACGCCGTCCAGTTATGGGTTAAGGATAAGTTTGTAACCCTGCACCCTGCGAACTCAAAAACTGTAATACATCTGGGAGTCGCCTTATTTTGCATGGAATTTCTGATTTGTGAGAGAGAATTACAGATAAAAAAGAAAGAAAGGAAAAGAATCAGCGAGCACTTCATCTGGTGCGTACTAAACCCGGCACCGAATCAGAGACGCTAGCGTTATTGGAACGATCAGCTCTCCTTCAATCCCGCGCGCTAATATAGCTTCCGCGGCCCCGTCGCATCTCGTATCTCCTGGCTCACATCCCAAGACAACGGCACGGTTGAATACTAAGGCACAACTTGCTATTCATTCCTCCAAATGACATTCACTTACCGAATATGCTACCGTCTTGAGACTGTTGAGTGCTCGATAGAACGCCTTCCGTGTAATTTCATCACGAGACGAAAGATCCTTGGCTATCACCTTTTGCACTATATTTCCAAGGAAACTATCCAACGATGGGTACTGTAACGTGCACTTACGGCCTTATAAATATGGTAAATTGAAAAACGCAACTGGGAAAACGTTGCTGACACACTACCTTTTTGTACACAATCACCAACGTGCAGTAGAAAAGAGCTGGAAGTGGATTCAACTCCATCAGCCGCTCAATCCCATCAGCAACCGTCTCCCTGGTCATCGCACGGGCGTCCATTAATTCCCGCAGATCTGAAAAAATAACTCGATATCAACACATCAGTGCAACGCACGGAACAGTCGCTGAAGAGCTCACTTGCAGACTGCACTTCGAACTCCTCTGGTGTAGAAGGCTGAACCTTATGGTATTCATAGATCAGATCTGGAGTGGTCAGTGTCGGTTCACCAGTGTCCACGTCTAAAATATTTCGGAATCATTAAGTATCACCCCAATATTCTACACCCTGAAGGGGAAATAGCACAAGGCAGAATAGCTCCGTGTCGCTTTTCTAGGATCCCGACAATAAGCGCTCCAGTTAAACCGTGGGCCTTCAATAGCGCAGCCGTTGTCAAGCTCAGACACAAAATTCATCTACCAAAAGCGAAAAAAACAGGACACCCCCACACACAAAAACCATCGCTCTAGTAAAACTTTCATTTCTGGTGTAGCTTGCCATCCACATTCGCGCCTCACGCATAAAGCATTCCTTAAATCCTTACCAACCTTTATTACAGCACTTTTATTCAAACCCATTCCCTGGATTCTTCCTCGCCCCCACCCCAACCACCACCTGTCAGCTACGCGTGCGCGGTTCCACTCCGAGAAGCTCTATCGCAAGCGCACACGTAAAGGCAGCAGCGAGTGGGGCCAGACACCACAGTAAACGTAAAATTTTCAGCACGCGTATACGCGCAATGATGAGAGAGCTGCGGCCTTATCAAGCCATGGCTTCCGTTTCATCATCTACAACTTCACCCTTTTCGGCCATCCTGCACCCACGTAGAGTGTGGTCCAAGTAACGGTACCATCGCAAGTGAAACCCTGCCTGGACTGTTGCTTTAACCGTTTTCAGTAACGGTAATGCAACGTCGTGGAATAGTTGCTTATGAATTAAGAAACACTGCTCGTTTTCTTTTGGAATACATAAGCACTTAGACAAGAACTCACTTCTACTCGTGAGAAGCCGTTTAAAGACGAGACCGACAGAATTTTGATGAGCTGCTTTCAGAATGAATTGCGGAAGAATCCGCACAATATCTTCCTTAAAAATAGTGATGAACTAAGATAAATCCAAAGAAAGAATGAAACCATGTTGTTGTTTTCAATGGTTTCGAATATTTTGACGGAGCAATAAGATGAAACATCAAAAATAAGACAACAGTTACAACAACAAAAATCTACGCACGATAAGGGTCACATAAAAAGCAAAGCACTGAGAATTCGAAAATTACCTTATCGAGACCGTTCAAAATTGGAATAAGTGATCGTACGTCGGTATTTCTTGTCTCGTGTAATTTCTTCATTCGAGCAACCACCTCTTTTGTGGCTGTTTCTGTAATAGAATTATGTATAGCGCAGTATCCAGGACTGCGGAACACCAAAATATACAAAGAACAAGTGTCAAATCACCCACGTCTTTCAGTTAGCAAATGCACGACTCGTGCAACGAAAGACTCTGCTCCTACAGGACACTCCTCAAGCAACTGTAACATATCCTTATTGTCCATTCCTATGGCTTTGATAGAATTCTCAATGGATCGCAGCATGATCTGAATGCGAAACATTAAAATCTAACTTGGACCTCTAAGAATCAAATTTTCCTCTTTAGGTGTTACCACTTCATACAATTCTACACAACCACGCAATGCAGGACTCGAGAAGTGAGCCAGAATCTCCTGCCCAGCCTTCTCTGAGTCGAAATCTGTTTGATTGAAAAAAATTCCTTCTAAATTTGGAGATCACACCTTCTTGAGAAGTGTTGACGCCTTTGTATAAACCTTCGCAAGTGGCAGAAGTAGAGAGGTATCCAACGGAAGTACAGCCAAGTAGAGGTGGATTCCACTACGATACAAGGGCTCATCAAATTCTGTGACATTCTGAAATCGAAGATTAGTGAAAAGCCGAGAAAAGTATGAAAATTGAATTGTAAAACAGAAATTGACTTCCAGCTTACCCTGTATGTGACAAAGTGTGGTGGTGGCGTTGGTAATGCGCACTCATTCAGCTGTTCGATCAATTTTAACCGCAAGTCTTGGTGCATATATTTCAAGGAGCACAGCTCCTTCAGCGTATCTACACATAATTGTTTGACCTGGAAATTATCACATTTAAATGAGTTGCCACCTGCTTGGCACTAAAAAATAGAGGAAGAACTTCGTCATTTAGATATGCCGGGATGTCCGGTATATTACAAGGTTTTACAGAATCAGAGACTATGAGTCTGAGTTGCTACGCAAACCTGCTCCGCAAACACACCTACAGAGCATGACAGTCGAGACAGTCGTGAAGTTTATCATACCTTAAGCAACACACAATTTCGATTCCCTTCTTCCAAAACATTAGTACAAGTTCGGATACAGAGCGCGATCCGTTTGACTTATCTAAATATCAGACCAGCGCGTTACAGTGTGAGTCCGGACTTGCCAGGGCAAAGTATTCGAGCGGCAGCTATCATCATTCCGAATCGTGCTAAAAATGCATTAACGATCGTCCACAAATATACCATTGACCAGCAATCGTTACAGAAAGCTTGGGAACACATGTCCAACATAGTCGGAACGTTGCTCGATCCGCGTTAAGTTAAAGCTCACGAAGGTTGGATACCAAATGCTGCCATACACCTAAACATAAATATCCCGATAAACTTACAACAAAGTAACGATAAGACCCAACACGGTAAGAACTCATGTATCAATCATATTGATCATGCTGCTTTGGTCAATTGATTACTGCACTTCAAGACGAAGAAAACTAATGGCACACCTTCCTCTAAAGCAAGCCTTCCCAAAATTTCAGTGCGTCGTCGTACACAGGGGGCACATCCAAGAGCATATTGTGAATCCTCATAAATCAGTTTCAAAGCACAACACCAACACCCAACGTAATTCAAAGGAACAATACTGGAACATACGCTTCTTGGTGTGGTCCCTGTCCAAAAACTTCGCAAGAGCCATAATGTAGTCGAATTGGCAAAGAGCTCGATTAGTGCTCGTCCATTGATTTGTCCATGTCATCATGGGTGAACACAGCGACATGAAGCCTACAATAACAGGGAAGTATTGCTTTTGGTACAACTTTTGTCCAGAAACATCAATATAAACTGAATCGAAAAGTGATAAGGATTACGTACTCACACGCCCTGTATTGGCGAATACAGTTCCGTCAACCTCACAATAGACGAAGCTCCGTTCATGTCTATGTTCGCCCATCAACAATGAACTCATTACTCATTGGCAAACGTTCGGGCAAGGATGAAACGCGTTCAACATCTCGCACTAATACACTGATGCATCGACATCGTACCTCCTAGTGCCTCTACCTTCAAGAAATCCGTAGTAAAACTCTGAAATCGTAATATATATCGCACTGTCAAAGATAAATTATCGGGGTATAAGGGGGTTAAATGACGATATTGTTTAAGTTTTCAGGCATTTTTTCATTTTTCACCCATTCCTTCTTTTGGAAATAACGGACTTCAAAATTCGGAGTCGACCTCTTTGAAGGGTGAGGCAATTGTACGCCCTTAAATGACTTCGAGGCTGATCGCGCGACATCCTACACCTTAGCACTCGCTCCATATTTGATGGGGGAAGTTGAGATAACGAAATGAATTCGTTTCAGTCCCAGGCGAGGTTTCAAGACAATCTTTAAGATCAAGAAAAACAAAAAGATGACTTCAAATGGCTTCGGTAGACAAGATTCATGTAAAAATCCTTAAGTGAAAATAGAGATCAAAACTTACGCTCAGCCTTCATAATCGCATGGAAGCAGCTTTCGAAGAGTCCCTCCATTTCTTCTCTCGACAACTGCCTTGTATCAGTGAAAATGTTGAACTGCTGCTTTACCTTAGGGACAGCGGGGATCGGTGTCTGAAAACGAGAACATCGTTATCAGTAGATCACGGTGCTAAGATAAGCTTTATGCTAACTAACCGGTCCAGGCAGAGCTCCAATGGGAACTAATGGTGGCTTAGGTCCTTGATGACCTCCAACATGAACAGCTGGCGTCGGTGGAATGAAGACGCCGTCCTTTCTAGCTGACTGTCTTTCTGGAAATTTTTAAGAAAGACTACAGCCTCAAGCATTTCGCTCTTGAATAAGGAGAATTCAGAAGAATAAGAACGTTAACGCTTACCCATGAACTTAGCCAATTTCTCCTTGCGCATTTGTTCTGCACCTGGACCAAGTTCTTGTGCTGTAGCCTGAGTAGCCATACTGCGAGCGAGATGACGTCGATGTTGCTGAATCATCGACTTTTACCGCAAATTACAGGAAGTTGAAATTAATCATCATGCATAATTATCATCTCCAACTTCTGTTTCACAAATTTTTCTCTCTTTCCCACTTTGAAAAATAATGCGGGAGAGAATATGGATCCTTGGAGGACATACACACAGCTCTCAGAACACAACCAATGGTTCTCTAATTCTTTTAATTGCCACAGATTGTGTTCGAAAATCTAGGCACGCTTCTATTCAGTTGGTTCAATGTCGCTGTAATTTTCTAGTGAACGTAATCGGCAACCTCATTTCACTTCGACTGAACTTCTGCTAACTGGCAGAGTCGTCGGATTCGGTAAGAAGACATGAATGACTGAGTGAAACTAGAAAATGATGATTCTCACCTCAGTTCCCGCAGTGGCAATCTGTGTGAAACTCGAAGCGAATGCGGCTGGCATTTCGTCAGGTAATGTAACCTTAACTGATGAATATAATGTATGAGTAGCTTGCCAACAAAAACAATTTGAAGTTGATTCCTAAAGAATGACGAAGTAGTACTTACCAAAGAAATGAGCACAAGGTTAGCGACAAGCTTAGGATTCAAGCGCTCATAAATGAACTGAGCCGTGATATCTATAGCCGACTGATGGGCCGAGTCCGGTATCGGAGCTCCTGCATCCGTAGCGCCTGGCTCGTCATCTCCGTAATCATCATCGTCCAGTGGTACTGCAAAGAAAAAAATTCAAGAGCTGTGGTAACTACTGAACCTTTCGCAAAAACGTTGGTTCAAAATATAAAAAATGAACCACCAACATCCAACATAATAGAATAACCATACGAATTCGCTCACCACCAGATGCGTCATCCCCTCTAGCCTTCTTCTTTGTGGCTGGCTCCTCCGCCGCGGTCTGCCGCTTAGATGCTTTCCGTCTCAGCTCAGCTATATTCGACGGCATAGCTCGATTTATTTCCTGGAACAATGAGATCATGAAGAACCAAGTGAAGAAGAGCAACTTTCTGGACAAAAAATCAGACTTACACTCTGAGATGCTCCTAGATCCGTCAATAAAGTTGTGATCCTGAGATGTAATGGAAGCGAAGACTGGTGCTTCAGTATCCGTAAAAGATGAGCTTTCAATTCCTTTCGCATTGATTTTACCTTTAAAGAACGGCCAGTGTCAGAAATAGTCACAGCACTTTTCAAAGTAGGCTTTTGGGCTGCTTAAAATGAGAAGAAACGATATGAGATGAAAAAGGTGTCATATAGCAACCAGAGATGACAGACAATGAGCACACATAGGCACAGAAAGAGCTTATAAAGAAACCTACCTGACTAGCTCCTAAAGTGGGTGGAAGATTAATGTGAAGTGCTTCAAGGCAGTCAAGAATGCGTGCCATGTATTCTGGCCTTCGCCGCGAAATTGTACACAGGACTGTTAAAACCGTTAGAAGATTCTGAACAGAAAATGGATAGAATGTACCTGCTGAGAACAACTGTAGAAATCAAGGTTGCAAAGAAAAAAGTTGGTCAACTGTAATAACCTGAGCAGAAATATGTGGCAATGTGGTCTGATCCATGAGAGATTGAAGGTTTACAGCTGCTTCTGACTGCAGCTTTCTATACGAAATAAACCTATGATCTCGAGGCACTTCATTAAGTGACATGATGTCCTCTCCTCTACATGTGTCACTCTCCTGAAAGGCTTATTCGTGTGTGTGGAAAGAAAGGAACATTTTCAAAAGTAGTCACCTCAGTCTTCAGCGATTGTGAGAGGACGATTGCTTCCAGAAACTTAAACGTCATTGTACGGATTCTTAAAATAAAACTTGTTATAAAGTACAAGTGAATTAACATAAAAGAAGAGGGCACATAGACTGTGATATTGACTGTTTTGTATCGCTTTTGAAAGGTTTAGACGGATTCCCTGAAAAGATGTATCGAGTAAAACAGTATAGAGGTGCGATCACACTTTGCAACCGTCTTGCAGCCCCAGCGTGTGGATTAGATTAGACACACATCGAGGTACGATCAAAAGATTGATACATATCTGCTCCACAACCGAACTGCAACCGAGGCCACACCATACCGTAAGAAGCTCATATCTGAGCAAAAAACTGGGTAGTTGAAAAGCAGGAAGATACCGTCCAAAAAGTTTTATGTAAGAAAAATTCACAAGGTGATGAACTTCCAAAAATTAATTGTGGTCGCGTACTAATAATGCAATTAGTTGATATCAAAACCATTAAAGGTTTAGTGGGTAGGGTTTCTAATGTTTCCGAAAAATTTTCAATACCAGTCACTTATCCTCGGGTCAACCGGACACTCAAAGTTTCTCTCACGGCATACAATTCACTGTAGTTCAGAATCGAAAAAAAACTTAGGAATATTTGAAGTAAAAAAAAGGAACAAAACTTGCCCTTCATTATCCGAGTCAGCGTGACTAATAATCCTCCCCTTGAGAACAGAGAATGCTTCCCAACATTTTTCAACCTCAGCATCTGCTTTGCGGCTGCATGCCCATTTCAGAATGTAAGGATAGATGTTTGTACATACAATAATGACCTAAAATAATATGTAGCGCAACTTGAAACATAAGGAATGAAGGAATAAGGAATTAAGTATAGCTAAGTGCTAATATTTTGACTGCTTGGAAAGGGTCATACTCTTGAAAACTTCGCACCTAATGAGTAAATAAAATTGAAGGTTCTATTCAATCAAGGGGAAACCAAGTGGTGCAACTGTTCGCAACCTGAAGTAATTGCAGTTTTTGCAGAGGAAGAATTCCAAGTGCGTGAACCATGTCGCTGCCTCACTTACAACGATTCCAAAGCTTCTTCCCCAGCAGAATTGGGATTACTATACGTGACAACAGAGCGCTGCACCCCTTGTCCTTCTATGAGCTAGACCTTTGAAGGAGACGGAAGAGTGAGTGCTGCATTGTGGCTTTCGGCAAATGGAGTACA